AAATGCAAATCTAGGCTTTATACTTCCTGATCATGAAAATGTATGGAAAGTAGAACATTATGACATCAGGTTCAACCATTTGTTGGACAATGTTTCATCCCAGGAAATTTTTGTGTTGACTTTTAAGCAAAAGAAAAGCATAATATACTTTAAAACATAAAACAAAGTGATAAAGTTCTACATTAAGATGCTTTTAAAATTTTTAGAGAATTGTAAATTTAAGAGAATTAAAGAAGGAAAAATTGCTGGTCCAAGAAATGTAGTGACCATTCAAATACTCAGACTAACTAGTAATATGAAGTTGATGTAAAAGTAACCCTACTTTTTCCTACGTATCTTTTATTCTATGCACACTGCAGTTAAACAGAGACATATGACAGTTAAGCCACTCAAAATACAAGAAAAGAATACAAGAAAAGACAAAAAAATTCTCTATAAAAATTGTGTATTCATTCCTACGTGTTTAAACTTCAGACGCCTTCTAAATATTCTTCATTTGATGCAATATACCTATCAAGAAGCTTTTTCCACTGATCAAAACAGTTTTCAGTTTTTGAACTCATCAGTCTTGATGCCTGTTAGTGCTTCTGATGTTTTTTGTTTGTTTGTTTGTTTGTTTCACCTGTTCCTAATCAGCAAAATGTTTCCCTTTGAGGACTTTTTTCATCCAAGGAGACAAAATAATAATAATAATAATAATATTAAAAATAAAAAAAATAAAAAGTCACTAGAGGCAAGACTGGGTGAATAGGGGGTGTGAGGCAGGGGATCATTTTTGGTCAAAAACTGCTGAACACTCAGTGCAGTGTGGACAGATGTGTTGTTAAGGTGGAAGAACCAGTCACCTGTTTGCCACAACTTAAGATGTTTCTTCCACAAATCGTAGTGCAACCTTCACAAAACTACCAGATAAAAACTTTGATTAACCATTTGATCCAGAGGAATAAATTCCAAGGGTACTATAGAGGGCCTGCTCTTCAAAAGACAATTTTGATTTTTTTAGGGTCCTTCTTTTTAAATGTTTCCAAGTGAAAAAAATGTAACTTCTATCTATTAAGACATGCATGATATTTTCACTCGTTTTAGTCAATTATATGATTAAAGATCTTCATTGTAAGGAACTATTATATATATTCATCGTTTAATGCCTATGACCTATTAAAATTCAAATTTTAGTTTAAAACTGAGGCTTATTAAGCATGAAGATATGTCAAGAGACTCCTTTCTACATACACTTGCTTCTAACACATATTTTAGTAACTTGATAGCTAACTAAAATTGAATATGCCATTGAAGTTAAATGTTTTCAACACCTCTGTAAAAAGAACACATTATAAAAATGAATTCATATTTCTAGTGTATTCTAATATTTCAATATCCATTTATTGTTTCCATTCATTAACACATCCCCAAAGAAAGCTTTTAACTTCTTAGTAGGCTTATTATAGAAATGAGCTTGGAGCTCCTATATGAAGGGATTATATTAAAATTGAAGTCCTCTTTTGTTTTTATGAATTCCTGAAGTCTCAGGGGTGTTATTCAAAAGTTATAACATTTATAATAGGTCTCATATTAAAATAGTACCACAAAAATGTATGTCTGTGCTTACGAGAAACCAAAGCCTCAAACACTTAAAAAAGTAATATGACTAGCTGAATTAACAGAATATATTTAAAAATTTTAAATTTTCATTTAAAGCAGTCACTATATATTTTGAAAAGCAACTAGTAGGATTGCTGTAACAAAACTACAAAAATTCTAAGGAAGAATCCTTTAAGTAATTTTCACATACTATAACAGATGAATTATCATTCTGCTAATCATAGGGGTGCTCTGAATTTTATAATAATTTATCTCTTAATATTTTGGACAGAAAGTAGCATATTAACATTAAGAAAAAATACCAGACTCTTTTCCCTTGGGAATATTACAGTTAATCTAATGGTTAAAACTGAATAATAAGAGGATTAAATTAAAAATACATTTATACTTCCACTAACATAAAGTCTAAAGATAGAATTATCACATAAACTACAACTAGTGAGATTCAAAGTCTCTTGGGATCATTAGACCAAATCAGAAAAAAATCTTTTAACATGGGAGTCCCCCCTTATCCATGGGGATACACTCCAATACTGCCAGTGGATGTCTGAAACTATGGATAATATTGAACCCTATGTATGCCATGTTTTTCCCTATACATACATACTTATGATAAAGTTTAATTTATAAATTAGCTACAAGAGATTAACAATAACAAACAATGAAATAGAATAATTATGACAAAATGCTATAATAAAAGTTATACAAATCTGGTTGCCTTCTTATTCTGTCACTTCCCTCACCGCTATCACTCTCTCTTTCTTTCCCTCTGTCAAAATGTCTTAGTATTTTAGGACCACAATTGAATGTGGGTAACTAAAGCCATGGATAAGAGGGGACAGTTGTAATAATAAAAAAATTATCTAATAATAAATCTGATAGTCATCAAAAACAACTGTCACTTTTACTTTGGATACCAATATATGAATGATCTAAGACATTTAAAATTTTATATTTAAAGGAATTTAGTAAAATAAAATTTGAGAAAGCCTGTCAAAATATTTTTAAACATACAATATTATAGTATGACATAACCTCTCAATAAGATACATTTTCTATTTCTGTAGAGGTAGCAAATTTAATGCAAGCAATATTATATTCTTTAACAGAAAGAAGGATTACCTAAATAAGTTTTGGAAAGAAGGTCATTATATTGAAGAAATATCCAGAGGACGTAGTACTTTTTTTTGTTTTTATTTTTTTGAGTTGGGTCTCATTCTGTCACTCGGACTGGAGTACAATGGCACTGTCATGTTGAATTCAGCTTCCATCTCCTGGGTTTAGGAAATCTTTCCCCCTCACCCTCCTGAGTAGCTGGGACTGCAAATGTGTTTTATCACATCTGGCTGTTGTTTATTTTTTGTAGAGACGAGGTCACACTATGTTGCTCAGACTGATCTTGAACTCCTGAGTTCAAGCAATATTCCTGCTTTAGCCTCCTCAAAGTGTTGGAATTACAATAGTAATATTTATAAACATAGATTAGAAATAGTTCAGTGGACCTAATCTAGTTCCCCTCTATTATTTCTCCTTTGTCCTTTCACTGTATAAAACATATTTTGAAAGATTTTGGTTTCTAATCAAAATACAAATTCATATTCATATTTTTAAAGTTAAAGTAATTTTAGCTTGCCAGAGTATCCAATAATATGTAATAGCAGAATTACCACATTGAGGTGATATAATATTAACCAAAATTAATTTGTCATCTTGAGAAGTATGAATGAATGAACTATTCATATTCATTTTTACAAATATCAAATATTGTTTTGAAATTTAGCCACTACAAACAAATATTTCTAAGGCTCTAAAGACCACAAATTGGGAATTAATTATACAGTACAAACATTTCTTTTTAGAGGTAAGAAAATTCAACTAGACTACTTAACTCATATTCTGCTGTCAGTTAATGGCAGAGTTATACGTTGATCTCTTCACAATGCTATATCTATATAAGTGCATTTTACAGACTTTAGAGATCAGATATTTAACTAGTGCTCATCATAATGCAGTGAACTCCCTGATTAATTCTGCCATCTTTTCTAATGTTTAGGGACTTGAATTGTCACTTGCCATATTCCATTATAGAAAGCCTTCACATTGTCTGCCTATAATTATGGTTTTTCCTCCCTGAATCTATAATTTTATTGTAATGTATCTTTTCACATGTTCAGAAGATTGTTTACATCCATACAGAATTTCACTTCTTGCCAAATATTTATATATTTATATTTAATAAGTTCCTTTTCAATTAGATTATTTATCATGGAACCATTCCAAGTAAACTTTCATTGATGTAGCACTGTTCATACATAGAAAATCAGAGAGGCAGAGGATTAAGATGAATGATTTATTTGGAGGTAGGGAGGAATTCAATTTTGCAAATATATTATAAATAGAATAATCAAGAACTCATATCATTCATTAATTCTAAAGTTTAGGACATACTGGACTGTTTAAAAATATCTATAAATATTATATTTTTATATGTGTAAAAAAGACAATAAGCAAATATATTGTTGTTTATACCATTGCACAAAACTATACATATAAAAATACACTGAGAAATACAATAGTAAATAAAATACTAATAATACTAACATCAGAATAGTAACATTAATTCTAATTGAGTACAGCATAATAATATAATAATAAAAACGGAAATTGGCTTTTTGATTATTTGAAGTATAGAACAATAAATCGATTGCATACTTTTGTTCTTCAGACAATGATGTTTCTATTGTTTTCAGTTAACTAACACATACAAAGTTAAAAGACTATATTTATCTAACATTTATATAATTAGTTTGCTATTTTGTAAGAATATTACTTTTTCAAAAATCAACTTCAGGATTATAAGAAACATGTGATCAAATCTAACACAGAAATGTATCGAATTGATGCGCTCTTTAAACACACTCAAATAGTCAGATATCAAAAATGTAAAAGATTTTATTACCAAAAAAAGAATATTATAATAAATTTCTAGGAGTTATATTTTTTCTAAAACCCCAAATAAATTTCATTCAGAATTTTTAAAATTGTAATAGAGACACGTATGAAAAATAAGTTGTTTTAATCACATAACTAATACTTAAATTAAATATATTACAAATTATATAATTGAATTAATATTTGTATCATTTAATCATTTCTAAAAACTAATATCATTTCTAAAATCTCTTTGTAACTAACCAATACTTCTACAGGTATTGACTTAAAATGACAGTGTTAAAGTTTCTTTAAAGCTTAAAAATATTAAATTGATTTAAAAAATATTAATAAGTAAAAATGATTTGAAAATCTGTTTTTGAAAGACCTATGCTAATTAACAGACAGTAGAGATCCATGTGTTTGCTCAGACCTTTAGACAAAAGATTAAATAATGTTACTGATACCTCTCTCCGTCGAGAAGCCCAACACGTTTGTTTGATCTTCCATACCACAGCAGCCACCAGTAATAAGGATAAGAAACAACTGGAAAATAAAACAAATAATTTTTGCTCAAAACATGTTTGAAATATGTAATCAAATAATAAACGCATGCATTAAAGTTTTAAAAATATATAAGTAATCGCTTTGACTAAGTAAATAATCCAAGCAAAAAAAAGGGTAAATGTGCAATGTTTAAAATGCTTTATCAAGCAAAATTAAAGCATATAGGTAGAAAAATATTTATCTTCCTTGCTATACATTATAATTTTTCTTTACAATTTTCTCTGTTGGAATGTAAATTTATTATTTCACTGGTCTTATGAAGAAACACAAAATCACAAGGAAAATATTTTACAATTGTTATGAGTCCTAAAATATGGCAATTTTACAAATTCAAATGTCACATATATTATTCATTTTATTTTTATTTCCAACTATTTTAGATATAAGCATACTCCAGTGGTTGTCAACTAAAGGTGCTTATGCTTCCTCCCCCTAGGGTTCATTTGGCAATGTCTGGAGATGTTTTTTATTGTCACGACAGAAAATGGGTTGCAACTTGCATCTAGTGTGTAGAGCCAGGGATGTTGCGAGACACTGGACAATGCACAGGACTGTCCCCATCAACAAACAATTATGCAGTCTAAAATGTCAGTAGACTGAGGCTGAGAAACCCCGTAAATGCTAATATTCAAATTAAGAAATAATTTAGCTATAATTTTCATGTTTCTGGTCTAATATATTAGATACCATATGCAATAATTATAATAATGCAGGGTACTTTGTTAGCCATGACATAAGCCTGTCAATTATCAAAATAACAAAGATTGATATGAATCTGATTAATTAGTTCCAACCCTGCATCATTGTTGATTTCCTCCTCCTTTGCTCTGTGGTCACAGATTATACTATGAGAAGATCCAGAAATGAACAGATCTGGGAAACTACAAATTCACTGGTCACTGGCCACTACAAATAAACCTGGTTCTCATCCTTAATTGATAATCATTGCATTTGTCAATTGATTCACTCATACGCTGTGGCAATTTCTGACATTTTCCACTCTTGTCAGGCCTTATGCCTCACTCAAAGTAGAAGACCGTGGACTATTCTTCAATGATGATGACAATGATAATGACAATTGTGGCACTTATCCATTGATGCACATTCCAGATGCTGTGCTAGATACTACAGATTGATTACTGAATTTGTTTTATAAGAAGTCTTCCAGATAGAGTATATCATTCTTATTTTTGAAAAGAAGAATCCAATTATCAGAGATTTTGAAGTTACTTTCTTATTGTTACACATGGAGTAAGTGGTAGTATCAAACTTTAAATCTAGCTACTTAAGCTTCAACTTTTTTCCTCCCCATCTGTTGAGAGCTCAGAACTTGCCCACCATCTCACAACCATTCTGTTTCCATATCCATTCTCTAATCCTTTCTCTAGAATCAAAGGGAATTGATGTTTTTTAAAAGTCAGTGATCACAACTTTTCTAACCACTGAGGTGCCTTTTAAAAAAGCATAGTTACCGTTTTCCCTAATATTTTCAAGCTCTTTCTTTCTAATCCATCTTACTTTAAATTTTCAAAAGTACACAAGTCTCATATGTCCTAAAAATTAAAAACAGTAATCTACCCTTATTGACCCTGTACTTTTCTCTAGTTTACTGAGCAAGTGGTCAATTCAGCCACTTTCACATCAATTTCCTTGTAGTCTGGTGTCTGACTTGCTTGTATACTAACAAAAATGTCAATATTAATAATGATGAATATTTAAAATTGTATGGGATACTTTTCTCAGAACTTTTTTTTCAACAATGACTATGACAATTGTAGCACTTATCCACTGATGCACATTCCAGACGCTGTGCTAGATACTTCACATTGATGACTGGGTTTTGTTTTATAAGAATTCTGATTTTAGAAAAGAGGAATCCAATTGTCAGAGATTTTGAAGTTACTAGCTTCATCACGACTTTATAGAAATTAAATAAACTGGTCTCTTCTCTATCAACAGACTTTCACTACACAATTGACAATACCAATAATTCATTCTTTAAGCTCTCTCTTGGATACTTTTTTCCCCTAGTTTTCTAGAAAACTGTACACAAGTAGAGACAACGAGGTAGGTTACATTCCAGATTCCCCCTTTTAAATTACAGACATTCCTTAAAACTCAGTTCATAAAACTGTTCTTTCTTTTGTTTGCATGTTTGCATGTAGAAAGTTCGGTTGTTCTTCCTGGTTTCAACTATGATCTCTAACTGGAATGTTACAAATCTGTATCCTTAGACCTGCCAAAATCATTAAAGAGGATCTAAAAGATTATTTAGTTCAAAGTTTCTCCCAGGAAAGAAATTCCCAGTATAGCTCTGATAGTGGTCCAGCACCTAATTAAATACTTAGTTGAGAATTTGCTGACTCACAAATTAGTGTAGGCTATTTTTAGTTAGCTCAAACTATAAAAATGCTCTAACATTTATAAATCAGTGCTGTCTTTTGGATTAAACTGAATCAGTGTGCTATATGCTAGAACTTCATATATTTGAAGAGACCTATATGATTTCCTCTTGTCTAATGGTTCTCAACCAGGATGTTTTTGCCCTCAAGGGGATATTTGGCAGTGTCCTGTGATATTTTTTGTTTTCACCACTCAGCATGCATTTAGTGGAATGTTGTTTAAATATCCTACAATTTATATGACACCTTTCTACTAACAAATATTTTTCCAGCCGAAAATGCCAATACTACTGAAGTTAAGAAACACTTTAACAGTCTGAATTATCATAGTGGTTACATGTTTCTTGTTTACCCAGGTTAAAAGTGTAACTCTTAAAAATATGATACTGATAATTACTATTTTAGATATAGTCTGAGTACCTATTTATCTGAATTTCATTCAGACAATTGTACACATAAGAATTTTAACATGAGTTACAAAAATCACCTCAAACCTACCATGTTATTATGAATGTTATAATGCCATTAAAAACATTCATAATAATAAAAGTAACTAAAATCTATTAGTAATATGGATCAAGCACTATGTTAAGTATTTTAAATGAATTATCTCTTTAATTTACAATTGTACATGATACACCATGTATACTCTTATGTGCTCATTTAAAAGATGAGTAAATTGAGCCATGGGTAGTCTAAATAAATTGCCTAAGTTTCAAAAGTATTAACTTGCAAGTTCTCCCCTTTCTTTTGACTTTTTTGTTTCACCACTACTTTCCACCTAAATTGTAAAAACATATTCAATTTTAGTATCCCTTGTATTCAACTGGGCATCAAATCTTGTCAATGTTTCTTTTAGAATATCAGATATAGTAAGTAATAGTATGTATATAAAATTCATTCATATTTAATAACAAAATACAATTTAAATAACAACATATTTTTATTTGATTATCTGATAATTCATATATTTTATCCCCAATAATTACATGATAAAAATTCAGTTTGAGATGCAAAAACTAGTTAAATTTCTTTGAGGAGCACAAATTCTTTCTTATCTAAATGTTGTGGCTTAAGTAAAGAGTATCACTTTTATAATGATATAGATGGTATAAAAACATGCAGGTTTCATAATTTCACTTTCTTTAGAAGATACATTTTTAGGATTTGTATCAAATGTTTTCAATCCTAATTCCTATTAGGTTAGTGATAAAAGTAAGAGTTACCATATTAGTGCAAACAAATTAGCTGCTAAAAACAATATACAGTGCAAGAAAATATTTTTCTTAATAATATTCTAATAATCTACAATAAATATAAAACACTCAATAAAATATAACAATAAATTTTGCTAAATGAATGAAATTAGTCCTTTAATTAATTTGAACATCATTTCTTATTTGGTGTTATTATTCCTATATCAAGGTAATATTCTATAATTGTTCCCGATTTCTGATAAATTACATTGTAAGCAAAAGTTAGAGTTCTTTTCCTACATAACCATGATAAACAGACAGAAATCCAATTAAAAAGCACAATCCCATTCACAATAGCCACACACAAAAAAGAAATACCTTGGCATCTTCCTAACCAAAGAACTGAAAGACCTTTACAATGAAAACTACAAAACACTGCTCAAAGAAATCCAAGAAGACACAAACAAATGGAAACATATTTTATGCTCATGGATTGGAAGAATTAACATTGTTAAGATGTCCATCCTACCAAAGACAATTTACAGCTTTAACGCAATACCCATTCAATTACCAACATCATTCTTCTCAGAGCTGGAAATGACAATACAGAAATTCATATGGAACATAAAAGACCACGAATAGCCAGAACAATCCTTAGCAAAGAAATAAAGTGGGAAGTATCACACTTCGAGACTTCAGACTCTACTATAAAGCTACAATAATCAAAACAACCTGGTATTGGTACAAGAACAGGCATATAGACCAATGGATCATAACAGAGACTCTGGAAGCAAAATCTCAATTTCTCAATCAATTCATCTTCAATAAAGCCTCCACAAACAACCAATGGAGAAAGGAGACCCTATTCAGTAAATGGTGCTGGGAAAACTGGCTGACCACATGCAGAAGATTTAAATAAAACCCTTACCTATCATCATACACAAAAATCAACTCTAAATGGATCAAAGACCTAAATGTATATCCTCAAACTATAAGAATCCTAGAAGAAAATGTAGGAAATACCCTTATGGAAATTGGAATAGGCAATAGATTCCTGGTCAGCTCTCCAAAAGTGAAAGCCATAAAAGATAAGATAGATAAGTGGGACCTCATCAAACTGAAAAGCTTCTGCAAAGCAAAAGAAATCATCAAGAGAGTGGGGAGACAGTCCATGGAATGGGAAAAAAAAATTCCCTAACTGTAAATCTGACAAAGGCCTAAAATCTAGGATCTACAAGGAACTCAAACGTGCTGAAAGGAAAAAAACAAACAATCCTATTAAAAATGGGCAAAGGATATGCATAGACACTTCTAAGCAGAAGACACATGAGCAGCCAATAGATACATGAAGAAATGCTCAGTCTCATCAATCATCAAATAA